ACTCCTCCCTGCCCCCTTCCTAGACCCCTTTCCTTCTTCACGCTCCCCTGCTGCCCCCTCCTCCCAGGGGAGTGTCCGGCCCCTCCCCACCCCCCCTGCTCTCCGTCCCGCCCTCTCGCCGCTGTGTGGCCCCTCGCCTCCCCCCCCCCCCCACGTGGCCGCTCCCGAGTCCCAGGGCCGGTTCTGACCCCCCCCCCTCTCTCCCCGCAGGCCCGCACTCGCTGCGCTATTTCTACACAGCGGTGTCGGAACCCGGCCCGGGGCTGCCCCCGTTCACCGGGGTCGGGTATGTGGACGATCAGCTCATCGTCGACTACAGCAGCGAGCGGGTCAAGGCGCAGCCCAGCGCGGAGTGGATGGCGCGGAACACGGACCCGCAGTACTGGGACCAGAACACGCAGAACTTCCAGGGCGCGCAGTCCACGTTCCGAACTAACCTGAACACGCTGCGTGAGCGCTACAACCAGACCGGGGGTGAGTGCGGGGCCCGGTCACTGCCCGGACCGGACACGGGGCTCGCGCTGCGGGGGGGACAGAGGGGCTCACAGCAGGCTGGGGGGTCGGTGTGGGGAGCAGAGGAGGCGGACCCCCAAGGGGGGTTGGTGTGAATTGGGGGAAGGGGACAGAGGGATTCACTGGGGGCTGGGGGTGTTGGGGGAGGACCCACGGGGGGGTTAATGTCCCAGTGCTCGATGTGAACACTGGGTTCCCGTGGGGGGAAGGGTGGTAGGAATGGGGGGAGGGGATGGACACAATGGGGGGCAGTGTCGAGGGGGTGTCAGTGTGAACAAGCACGCGAGGGGCTGCAAAGGGGGGGGCTGGTGTGAATGGGGGAGGGGATGGAGGGACCCATGGGGGAACTTTCTTACACGGTCAGTGTGAACGTGGGGGGCAGACGGACTTATGGGGGGTCTGCAGGGGGGGGGTTCATGTGAAAGATGTGTTTGACACCCTCCAAAGTGTGAATCTCTTGCAGTCCCCTCACAAAACACCCCAGACATCTGCTCCCAGCCCCACTTCCAGCTGTCTCTGCCCCCCTTCCAGGCCCCCTGCCCCCCAGTCTGGGTGTGGTCACTCCCCGGCAGAGCCGCACAGGTGCGAAGGCCAGAAGGTCCCATCCGCCCCAGCTATGCCGGCCTGGCCCCATGGGGGGTGGGGTGCTGTGGGGCAGGGGTGCTGTGTGCACAGGGGGACTGGGGCGGGGGGGGGGGGGCGACCG